AGAGATCCCAGCTGGCTTGAAATTAGTCATTCCAAGTCTAGCAGCAACAGAGAAAGGCATCAAGTTAATACCTGACCCTAGATCACATAGTGAGTGTGGAAAACGTTCTGCAGATATTGAGCAATCAAGCACAAAGGTCCCTGGATCATATAGCTTCTCTGGAACTCTGCTTTGAGTGATGGTGTTGACTTGTTTAGAAACAGTCACCTTCTTCTTCTTCTTTGGAACTGTACTCAAAAGGATTGCACTGATGTCTCTGGTAAGCAATGCTCCTTCCTCAGGACTTACACCATTCACAACCATTCTCTTTACATATCTTCTTAGAGATGGTGAAAGCTTGACTGCATCAACAAGTGGGATCTCAAACATCAGCTTGTCTATCATAGCTTTACATCTGACTTCTTTTATCTCCTGTTTAGACTTTCTAGGATGCTTGGGGAATGGTGTTTTGGGTTTATAGACACGTTCCTGGCCATTATATGCAGTTATAGGCGAAGCAGCTTCGTTCTGGGGTGGGTGACGACCGTCACCAGGGGGGTGACGCTCGTCACTCACTTGTGACAACCCCCGATTCTCTTGTATGTTGGTGACGAGCGTCACTCCTCCTTGGTGACGCTCGTCACTCACCTCTGAGACAGAAAATTTTTCATCTTCAGACTCCATGAGTTGCACGATCTGTTCTGCACTCAACCTCTTTTTCTGTACTGTTTTAAGCTCATTTTCATTCCTGACAGTGATGGCATTAACCTGATGCTTGGAATTGATATCAGTCCTTCCAGGAAGGAATCCCTCTTGCCTTTGAACAGCTCCTGCAGTTTGAGCAACCTGCACATCAAGCTTCTTCATGTGAGAGTTCAGACTCTCATTTTTTCCATTCAAGTCTTGATACAGCGAATCTAATTTGCCATTGAAGATCACTGTCATCTTCTGCTGTCCTTCAAGTACCTGCTCCAGCATAGCTTCCATCTTATTGTCTTGTGGAGGTGTAGTTTGGTAGGAAGAAGAACCATAGTTTCTGTAATTTCCACTGTTCTGGAATGGCTTCTGATACTCTGTCTTCTGGAATGGGGGTCTAGGAGTGAAACCAGGCGTGCTCTGTCCTCCTGTAAGGGCGTTCTTCTGATTATTGTTGTTGTATCCTCTGTTCCACTGCTGATTCCCATACCTTTGTCCCTGAAAACCACCAGAATTGATGAAATTTACATCCTCCTGCTCAACTTCCTCTGGAGCTTCGAAAGTTTCCACTTCTGCAGCAAAGTGAACCGACTTCTTCCCCACCAAAAGGCTGTGCATATCATCCAACTTAGCCTTAACTTCAGCAATCTGATTTCCATCAGCTACACCAGCTTGTTTCATCCTCTGAAAGTCTGCATTTTTAGTGCTGTTGCTGCAGACCAAGTTCTCAATCAGTCTGATCGCCTCTTCTGGTCTGTTGGTGTTGAAGTTTCCTGCACTTGCTGCATCCAGCGCCATTTGATATTTCCAGTCAATGCCTCTGAAGAAAATCCCAAGTAATTGCACCTGACTGAAACCATGATGAGGACAGTCTCTATAAGACTTGAACCTGATTTAAGAGGCCTTGAAAGCTTCAGTAGGGCCTTGTGTAAATGATGCAATTTTTGTCCTCATGTCCTCTGATCTTGCACCATCATAGAAGTTGTTCAAAAAGGCATTATTGGTGTCTTCCCAAGTGGTCAATGAAGCAGGTTCCAGTTGCTTCAGCCAATATGCAGCTTCTCCTTCAAGAGAGTAAGGAAAAACCTTGCAGAAAAGAAAGTCATTGCTAACCCCATTAGCTTTGACACTGGAAGCCAAGTCCTCAAATCTCTCTATGTGATCCATAGGATGCTCATGAGGTAAACCATGGAATGGATGCTGGCCAACCAGCTGATAGTAGACAGGTTTAACTTCAAAATCGTTCCTCTGGAAGGCAGGAGGTCGGATTGCAGCTCTGTTGGCATAGAACTGATCAGGTCTGTTGTAGTCACCTAGAGTCCTCTGAACAAAACGCCCAGCAGCGTTATTGACAGCAACAGGGACTACCACGTTCTCAGCCACTTGCTGAACCTGCTGTTCAACAATGACATTCCCCTCTTGATCAATTCTCTGCCCCTCTTCGTTCCTCCTGTTTCCTTCCCTGTCAACCAAGTGACCTTCTGCATCTTCAACCAAGATAAGTGGAGCGACCATTGTAGATTGCTTCTTAGCTTTCCTGTTAGTTCTCTCCAACCTAGCAAGCTCGTCGATGCTCAAAGTCACAAGCTCCTTCTCTTTGTTGCTTCTGGTTCTGCGATTAGGCATACACCTGAAACAGGCACAGAGAAAAGAAACTAAAAGTCAGTAAACAAATAAAAACTTAGACAAAATCCTAATACTAAAAATCGATAGGCAGCTATTACTCCCCGGCAACGGCGCCAAAAACTTGATAGGGTCAGGTTTTACCCAAATAAAACTACTGCAAGTGCACAGCAAAGCAGTCGTAGTATAAGGGGTTATCGAATCCCAAGGGAGTAAGTAAACTACACTAAAGAGTTCAGGTTCAGATTAAGCTAAGCGATAAGTAATGAATGTAATGCGAAATAACTAAAGTAATAAAAGCAAGTGGGCGTTTTTGAGACTATTCTTAAAGTTCATAAAGCTAAAGGCGCTAAGTCAGGACAATTCGCAGGTGGAATCCGAGAGTGTAGAATGCATGCAATCAGGAATGAATTAAAACCGTCTTGAACATGAATCGCAAAGATATAACTAATCAATTCTCATAGCAGAAGTTATCTATGTCCAAATCACAGAGTTTCAAATCTCTTTGCAAACCCTAACAATCTAAACATGCAGTAATGATCAGGTTCAATTGTTCACAAAACTCCTAAGCCAAATCTCTTTGTACTAGGGCGTTTTGCTCATCTAATACTAGTTCAGGTGATTAATAATGCTCTCACATCTATCAAACAGCCTAGGGTTTCGAAATCCAGATGATGTGTCTAAGAAATCGATATGAATGCAAGCACAGATGAAGAACCAATGAATTTCCTATAAGTTTTTAGCAATTCTACAAACTCTTCTTCAACCTTTGAAAAGCCCTAACTTAACTAACAAACTACTCAGACATGGTGATTTGAGAAAACATCATGAAAAGAATAGATTGCATAAAAGAAATAAGAAGTAGAAATAAAGGAGTTCAAAATCTGCTCTGAAGGAGTCTGATTTGTCTCTCCAAAAGCTCTGCTACAAATCTCTCTCTAAAGCTCTCAAAAATAATAAGATATAAGATATTTTCCAAAAGAATGGCTGAAAAACCTAATATACAAGCTAAAACACGATCTGGGGCCTTTTTGCAAATATTAGAACTTCTGGGCCAAAACTGCAATTTCTTCCCAATCTTTTAGAAAACAGCCACGACCTCCTTCCTTGGTGGGTGACGAGTGTCACCATATTGGTGACGAGCGTCACCCATATGTGATACTTTCTGCTTCGAGCTTGGTACTTCGTGGCTTCAACTTGCAATGCTCCAAAAAGCTCCAATATCTCCAGTTATGCTCCAGACATGTTATAACCTGCAAAGACTCTTCCAAGACTCTAAAAAGACCAAAAAGACTCAATAAAAGTACTTATATCATGGTTAAAAACCATAAAAAACCATGATATATCAATTGGAGGCCCCGAAAAGTATCCAAATAAGATTGGAGCATCCAATCCCATATATTGTGATATCCTCACCGTGAAGGTTACCCATACATAATAGAAATCAAGGAAAATAGTCATACCCAATGTCCTGAAGAGTCCTCGTTTCCAAATACAGCTTTCTGGAGGTTCAAAGAAAAACACAGACTCCTTGTCCCCTTGGCGATACCGAATAAAGCATCCTTGTTTCCTAATCCCCAAAGACGTCGCAAGGGATCGACTCCACCTCCGCTAAAAAGGATTCACGATCCCTAACATCGCTGCAGAAACTCGAAAATCGAGATCAGCAAGACTCACCTCTGATCGAAACCAAAGCATCGCTCCTGGCCCCTCTTTAGTGTCGGATACCCATTGAAAATTTGCCAATTGTCTAATAAGAAATCTCCGAATGGAGATCCACCAGTCCCCCTTGGTAATGGAATCAATCCAGACCCAAACAAATCAATTTTGACCCCGAGATGATTAATTCATTCCGAGTGATCGCTCCACAAAACCCATCAATCTCATCGAACAAACTCTGATTGCAGATCATCAAAACCCAAAAAACGCCATCTTCCCCTCCTCTTTGCATCGGCAAGTATTTCTACCTCAGTACACAGCCCTCCGTCATCAAAATATATGATCTCGATCCCAATATTCGTCTCAATTTCTTCATATCCGAGAACAGACTAATTCTCCATAGATGTGCACAAAGCTTCTGCTCCAAATTCCTTCCTCAGAAAAGCATCTCCCGGAATACGTGAAAAAGAAAACTCCATACAAAAAAAGCTCAATCGTCTGCAAACCTCCGATACATCAAACCATACTAAAACGAAGACCATTTGTCTATAGATTTACTGAATATCCCAAATACCATTGATTAGCCCCAGGAAACTCATTAGAGCCATCAAAACCCTTCTGATTGCAGTTCATAAGCTATCAAAATCATCTTCTTCATCACTTATGTTTGAGAGAAAAGGCGTTACTTACATAATATATTATATATTTTAAAACAATTAAGAAACCAAAATAATATATATAATTATATAATTAAAAAACTACAAAATAAAACAAAATATATTAAAATAAATATAATAATATAAACATATAAATTATAAAATATAAAATAAATTAATTAATAATTTTGTTGCAACGTACAGATCAAAACCTAATATAAAATATAAAGTAGTACAGTTTTATAACATCAAGTTGGGGTTTTTGAAAATTATTTACCTATTTTCCCGCTTTGTATCTTGTTGGGCTGGCTTTGTTATATATCAATCAAATAGGCCCAGTAACAGTATTAAAGGTCGGGATCATTGCAGCGTAAGTTAGCGTGAGGTGTTAAGGACAGCGAGTGTGTGAGACACTGTTAAAGCAAACAATGGAGAAGTTGAAATTGCTGATTCCTGAGGATCTTCTGCAAACGGTGAGAAGCAGCAGCGTCGATGATCTTCTCTCCTCTTCTTCTTCTCTTCTCCGTTTGTTTCTCGGTCTTCCCCAATTTCACCAAGTACGTACCCTTCTTTAACCAAAACCTTACTACTACTATCTCTTGGTTCGCCTCTTCAATTGCTCTTCTTCTTCTTGGTTCGGCTGTTTCAGGCGGTGAGTGATTTAGGGGATCCTGATTTGGGTTGCTGTAGGAAGAACGAGGAGACATCTCTGGACTTGAAACGCCGGGGAAATCTCTGCTTCCGCAGCCGTCATTTCAACGATGCTTTGCGCTTCTATTCCAAGGCTTTGCGTGTCGCTCCTCCTCACGCCATTGATGGAGACAAGAGCTTGCTTGCTTCTCTGTTTCTGAATAGAGCCAATGCCCTTCATGTACTTATATTTTTTATGTTTCCCTTTTCCCGTTCCACAATTGAATCCCTAAGCTTTTTCTCTTTGTAGCCTTCTCTCATGTTCATGATTGTTGTTGTTCCGTAGAATTTGGGGTTGCTTGAAGAGAGCCTGCGGGATTGTCATCGTGCACTCCGGATTGATCCTTATTATGCAAAGGTTCTATTTGCTTCAGTTAATATAAATCCTTTAAGAGATTTCAGCCTCCCGATTCAATTTTCATTGATCTTTTGTGTCAGGCGTGGTACAGGAGAGGCAAACTTAATACTGTTCTTGGAAATTATAAAGATGCATCTCGTGACATCACAGTTTCTATGTCTCTTGAGTCATCATCGGTGGGGAAGAAGCAGCTACAGAACGAGCTTAAGGCTATTCCAGATTACCAGAATAAGCAAACATCGGAACACAGTGAACATCATCCAAACAGTTATGCTGGTGTGGGTTAGATTTTTTTTTCCCATCTTTAGATTCAGAGAGGGATGTTGGATTTTGACATGTCTGTATTATCTGGTCTGTAGATCATCTACCGAGCCTTCAAAGTGAAGTAAAGCTGCGTTGTGTATCGACAAAAGAGAAAGGAAGGGGTATGATGTCGGAATGTGATATTGAACAAGCTTCTGTGATACATGTCGAAGAACCAATTAGTGTGGTATGAGCTTGTGATACACTATTATGAGTTTTTAGATGGTTTTAGCGTCTTATATGTATTCTTATACAAATGGAGATATTGAATTGGTTCATGCTTTTATCAAACACACATTCTTTTGTTACTGAACATGTTCTAATGGTGAAGCGATGCCTCTTCATACAGGTCATATCAAAAAGTTATCGGGAAACGCATTGCCACTTTTGCCTGAATGAGTTGCCTGCTGATTCTGTTCCATGTCCATCATGCTCACTACCTGTGTACTGCTCAGAGTCCTGCCAAATTCAATCAGGTGGAGCGCTGTCCACAAAAGTGATGGACAAGCATCACGTTTATCAGAATCTACCTGATGATGTTGTGGAGCATATCGAAGGCGTTACATCAGCTGATATATATTACTCAGAAGAAACTGAGTGCATTCAAGAACACCAGCATGAATGTCGTGGAGCCAATTGGCCTGCTGTACTGCCATCTGAAGCTGTTTTAGCTGGTCGAGTTATAATGAAGTTAATAAATCAAGGGGAAACAGCTATGGATCTTTCCAACCTTCAGGAGATATTAGTATGTCGTTTTTTACTGTAAAATCCTCCCATCATTTGACACTGTCATAGAAAATCTAATAACGAGTGACTACCCTATGTCTTCCACAGGAGCTTACTCATAGCTACTCTGAGATGAGTCCAGAGATCAAGTTGGAGTTGCATCTACTTTCCATAGTATTGATTTGGTGCCTTAATAAATCTTGTTGCCCTGATCTTTCCGTCTGTGAGGCTTCTGTGACACAGGTTATCATCCATTCAATCTCTCATTGAGATCAACTTTGCTCTCAGAAAATTGTGCAGGAACTTACGTATTAAGTTCAATGGATGCTGACGGCTTAGCCTTACAAGTTATATTTTCCCCCATTGGATCTTGCTTCTGTGATATTATGTCATTGGAATTTAGATTATCAACTGCTATCGAGATTCCAAATTGGTTTTTGATTTCTTTGATTAAATCTGGCCTCATTGCCAAAAAACGTTTACCGCCTGCATACATATTTCAGTCAGTGAGTTCTTGTTATTACAACTTGATGGAGAAGTATAGCTGTGTACAAGATGCCCGCGCAACATAATGTTTTGGCCTTTTTGCTGACCATTGTCTGGATTTTTTCCTCTCTGTGTAGACTATCATACTGCTGTCACAAATCAAGGTGAACTCTATAGCAGTTGTCCGTATGAAATCTAGCGGCGACTCTTTAAAGGGCATCGCATCTGGAAACGTCTCAGAAAAAGAGTCGATTCAGAGTTTAGAGCAGGTTTGTCTTGGCAGAGGTACAGCTTAATTCGAATGTTATTTGATGCATCTTCCTACTTTCAGAACTCATTTAGAGCTAAGGTGTCACCACTAACAGCGATGCAATCTAGAGTTAAAGAAAGGACTCCAATCTATAACCTGATCTTCTATGTTTCCATTATTTTTTGAACTGCTCTTCTATGGAACTTTGTGAACTCAAGATCTCTTTTTCTGATGTCTATCCACAGCTCAGAGTTGGTCAGGCTCTTTATAAAACTGCTAGTTTGTTCAATCATTCCTGCAAGCCAAACATCCATTTATATTTCCTTTCACGTGGACTTATTATGCGAACAACAGAGTTTGTTCCCATGGGTTGTCCCCTTGAGCTGTCATATGGTCCTGAGGTAATTCTTGTGATACTCTTTGTCTCTATTTGTTACTTCTAGCCTGTATCATATATCTGCTGTGTCCTTTGAAGTCCATGTTTTTTTTTTTTTAATTTCAGTATGCATTTACTATTCACAGGTCGGAAATTGGGACTGCAAAGACCGCGTTAGATTTCTTAAAGAGGATTACTTTTTCCATTGTCGGTGCCGTGGCTGCTCTCAAATTAACATATCTGATCTTGTTATCAATGGGTATTGCTGTGTCAGTGCAAATTGTACTGGTGTAGTTTTGGATAGTAATGTGGCCACATGCGAGTCCGAGAAACTAAAACATTTTTTGGCTGCTCCAAAAAGCCTAAATCATCATTTTCAGGTAGTCTGAGATATTTTAAGTCAATTTGTCAGGGTTTAGCTTCCGTGCAGTTCATTTTAAGAAAATCCCCTGCTGATAATGTTTGATGGTCTTATCAGTTAAGATGTTTAGTTTGTGTTTAACTATTAGACATACCAAGATAATTTAGTTTGGGTTTAACTGTGTTGCTTTCACAGGTGAGTGAAAAGGTGTATGCTGATGTCGGTGAAGTGGCTTCAAGTTTGCTTAATAAACCTAGAGGTTCCCTTGAAATAGAACCTGAGATATGTTTGATATGTGGTTCCCGCCGTAACGTGGAAGATTCGTATGCCGAGGTGAACAAAGCTTGGAATGACCTAAGAAGGTATCAGGTTCTTACTTGAATCTTCAAGTCAATAATTAATGTGAGGTTTCTCTTTAACAATTGGATCTCTCGAGACTGTCAGGGTGGGAGAGTTGATGAATTCAGGACGTGGCAATGTCTTCGTATTATCAGATTGTTTAAGATCCATCGCCGTGCTTAGAACATCCCTTCACATGTATAACAAAGACATTGCTAATGTGAGTCAAGTTCCTCTGTATATATGCTCAAGCATTGTCACATGTTTATCAGCCATGTCCTCTCCAACCTTCGGGGAAAAACAGACATGAGTCACGTTTTAAGGTTTTTGTTTGTTCAGGCGGAGGATAAGGTTGCTCAGGCGTGCTATCTAGCTGGAGATCTGAAGGGTGCAAGGAAGCATTGTGAAGCGTCCATTAAGGTATAGTGATACTACTTCGGTTTAGGCCACAAAGCGATTTAATGATTGATAATGATGAGAACAATGGTTGGATAAAATCTGAAAAAAATTGCTCGAGCAAATCGATTTCTGGGAGAACAAATCCCTAAATCCCAACTGTTTATAGCTATTTAATGTCATTAGTTCTACAGCTAATGTCTATGAAATGTAAGATTGAATATTCAGCCTCTTGTATAAGTATGATGTGAGATAGATTTTGTGTTTGGTGACAGATTTTGAAGAAGCTGTATGAGGAAGAACACGTGGTGATTGGAAATGAAATGGTAAAGCTTGCTACGATTCAGCTTGCATCGGCTGATTCCAGTGGAGCTCGGGACACTACAAAGACATTGTCTCAGATTTTCTCGAAATTTTACGGTTCACATGCTGAGAGACTCTTCTCTTATCTTTAACTCACAAGCATATCAATAATAGACTTGGTTAGGTTAAAGGTCTGTGTTGTAATAACTTGGTGAGGTTAAATATTTATTGGTTGTAGTGTGACGCTAGGCTTTATAATAGACTCTTTAGACTTTAAAATATAAGCCAAAAACTTCATATCATAATAAAAAAAAATTAATTCAAAGTTAACATGACATAGGCCATGTACAACCATTTTACGGCTGCTACTGACAGTTTCTACATAATGATGATTTTCATAATAAATCTCTACATGGCTTTTGTATGCATTAAACACACAGAACCTAACATATCTTAGACGATCCTACACAGCTATTGCAGCATCTAATCATTGAGAAAACTACAGTTGGAGTTTGAACTAAGGCCATGTTTGTTTGAGCATTTGTCATTTCCATCTAGATGAATTATCCACATGGTTCACTTAAATGGTCCATTTAGATGTTGTTTGTTCCATTTTAATTACTCATTTGGATGATTCATCTTAATGTAAATGTGTTTGTTTGGTTATTTTACATTTGTATTCAGATGGTTTTAATAAAAATATGACTAAAAATATCATTGCTTTCATCTAATTATATATTTATTCTAAATCTGAATTATATTAATTCACATAAATTCATATTTTTTTCAAAACACATAAATTCAGATAATTTAATATCAAATCAAATTTGCATTTATAAATGTGTTTTGACCATCAATATCAAAGAAAAAAACCAAAACAAAATGTAAAAAAATTGATCATAAACATAACTAATATATGCTACAATCTTGAAATGCTTATGAAAACTAAAGCTAATCAATAGCATTTTTACATATGGTTCCTTGAATAGAATGAAAGTGCAGTATTTAGATATTGTGAAAATGAAAATGCAGTACTAAATTAGTAAAGACACTAATGAAGACCAAATGAAAATAAAAATATAGCATATTATGTCGGCCTTATGATCCAATAAATAAATTGTACTAACGATCAATTGGAAAAAGGTAAGAAATATATTTTGTAGAAAATATATTTATCTTTAATTATATGGTCTTATAGTTAAATGTTTTCAATTGAGATGCTATACATTAAGTATATTTGATAACCAATGAAATTGGTGATTAAAGAGTTTAAATTTCCAATGAATTTGAAGGACAAGTGGTAATGAATATAAGAGGACAAGTGGTAAGCTACATATCATGTTTAGGTTAATGACATGTAGAGAAAGCTATGAATAGCTTAGTGGCCAAGACGCTTTAATGTTAAGCTATTTTCATGCAATTATAAAGAACCCTAATGATAGATGGTTAAGATTGAATCAAAGGCAAACCCTAGTGAGGAATCAGGTCCTCTTCCCGTCTTGTAAATAGATGTCTTTGCTCCATCACAAATATATATATACACATTATAAAACCCAACATTTAAAGAGAGATTTATAGGAAAGGGGAGAGAAACTCTAAGCTCCTAGTTGAAGATGAAGTTTCCATCTCCAGTTCAAGGAACCATTCAAGAATAGCTCTTCAATACAATGAATGGAATTACTCCCACTAATCTCATTATAATTCTACTATATGATTAATATAGATGTTTAAAGATGTTAGAATTCATGTACATAAAGATGAGAGCAAAGATAATAAAAGAGATGAAATTTTTGTGGTTGCCATTATTAGTTATGTTTTCATAGGTTGCAACAACTCTTTGTCTAGATATCCTTAGATATCCTTCAAAAGAACAAAACCTACACAAAAATAAACTCAAAATCAGCATTTGAAAAAAAAAATAGTGGAGTAAAGAAATACATCTATAATAGAATACATATAAAAAAATTACTATATTGTATTTGTATAGCAAGAAATATATTGGGGAATGCTCAAACACTTTGATAATATAATTTAGTCTTCTTCAACAGAAAACTTCAAAAATTAACATATATATAACCTGATTACCTTTCGACTTGTTTATATATTTTGCTGCTTATTATGAACAGATCGATTGTATGGTCTTATATATATATAACAAATCTTGGAGATCATATGTAACGGGGTTCCTTGATAAACTCTGACTGTAAATTTCTTCAACGGATTTATTATTGATCATAAACGTTTTATATGATTTTTTGTATAATAAATCCCTTTTTTACGTAATGATTTTTTCATAACAAATATTTGACTGTAAATTTGTTCAACAGATTCATTATTTGCTGTGAACTGGTTTCACTGAGAGATCCCAACCTCGCTATCTTAGTCGAGACTGATCCTCGAGCGTTAAAACATTTCTCGAGCGTGAAAATATTTTTTTTATCAAAATAATAATAAATATAAATACACATTAAATGTCTAAAATATTTTCATTAAAAATAAATCGGGAATTCAAAACATTATAACAATAAAAATCAGAACTTAAACTTAAAAATAGAAATAACTGAAATAATTTTTTTAAGCTTTAAATAAAATAAAGTGTCCTTTTATAATTCTCAGAAGTAATACTACTCATACTTTAACTCAAGTCACTCACCTGGAAAGGAAAAAAAGGGGTGAATAACAAGTTACTCAGTGACACGATCATACCTGCCTACTAGATGTATACGAAACATTAATCGTAACCACATATGCATCAACTCAACCTAGCGATTAGACAAATATCAATCATCATGCATTCACAAGTTCATAGAAAACCTATCAAACAAGTTCTCTCACGAAAACGTGACACTTTTAAAATCTCGTGACTCGTTAGCCAAATCTCACAGGCCCGTCATTCCATGTATTGGCTACACTTCCTATGTTTGCAGTCCAACCATGGTCTCACTTTGCACAACATCCTTCGTGACGACCAGCAAACAATCCATCCATAGGTCATAATCAATCATGCACTCTAATGCGCCTATTTTAACACCAATCAACAATTCAAGCATCAATTCTCAATCATCATTCAAGTTCGTTATAATTAGCAATCAAAGTCTAATATCGAAGTTCAACATACACATATTTAGCTAAACCTAACACAACTTATAGATCCACAAGTCCCGCCTCACCTTTGCCTTTTGGTTGAAACTGAAAAGTTGTAGATGCAGTTACTGCGGTTGATGGTCGGAAACTGCAATAAATAGACTTCCCGGAATTAGAAACTTTCCTAAATTAGAAACCTTCCTAAAATGAAAAATTATTAAAAATAGAAAGTTTCCAAAAATGAAACTTTGCCAAATAGAACATTATAAATTAATAAATTCCTAAATAAAATTAGACTTTTCGGATTAGGGTTTCTGCTAAACTTGCACAACATGAATTCTCAGATTTAGGGATTTCAGATTTTTCAAATTAAGTGTTTCTTGACCGAAAAGCAATCAACATAACTTTCCCGATTTACCTCAGACCGGGATCTGAAAACGGCTGCGATAAGGTGGCTGGATGAGATTTCCAACAGTATGCTGACTAGCGGCTGGATTGATCTGGTTTGCCGGAAAATGGATCTGCAACTCCTTCTACGAAACTGGGAAAAGACAGATTTCTGTAAATCAGTAGAAATATCTGCTCGGATTAGTTAGATCATAACTCACGGAATCACTTTCAAATAGTACGGTTCAAGTGGTGCTGGATAGCTAGAAGGATTATATTGCCAATGACACTAAAATCACGATCTGGATCAATTGGAGTCAAACAAAATCTAGCTCGAAAGGCGGTGGCTCGGAAAAACTATTGGTGGCTGCTGAGACTGGATTTTGGCAGGGCTTCGCCGAATATATGTTCTCTGCCTCCCTCAAGGCTGTGGCTCTTCTTTATATAGAGAAAGAGGTTGACAAAAGCTAGGTCTAGGTTCAAAAGTGGGTTTTATTTTATGGATTTTCGGGCTTAAAGATTTTATCAAAAGAAATTAATTGGGTTTAAAGAATTTTATTTTTAGTGGATTTGGGATGTGACAATATTTATATAGATCTTCCATATCATGTACATGCATGTCATGTAAATGAGCTTTACGTAACAAAAACATTTACTATTGTAAGTTTGTTCAACATGTTTGGTAAAGTCAGGCCCAGCCCAGAGTACAGGCAGGCTAAGCTACTGCTTATGACCATTTTTTTTCAATTTTTTATGGACCACATATATATTAAAAATAAGCTATCGGGTTTATATACATTAAATTTTGAAACCCACATATTAAAAAAGAAAAAAAAGCACAAATATTTTATTACAAATGTGCCTCCTTTTTTTTAGTTTGGGACCACCATTTAGGTTGGATCGATACTGGGTAAAGCCAAGTAAAATTAGAAATGAAAACCCTCTTGATTTGGCCTATCTATTAAAACCTTCTGTAATTGATTAGACGAGAAACTAACTGCTGTTTGGTATAGTTTATCAGCTTGAAAAGAGGACTTTTGGTGATGATGTCTACAAGTACCAATGCGAATCCGAGAAGCGGTTAGAAAGAGCTTAGGCGAAGAATAAATGTTCTACTGCTCAAACACAAAAATGATGTCTTTGACTTGATTTCTCAATCTTTTTAATCAACTCTCTACGACCACTGTTACGTTAACACACAAACTCAAATGCATACATGAAGAAGTCAAATACATTTTATGCATTGGAGTATACAAGTAATACAACTGAAAAAATATATACATAAATGTAGATAATAAGTATTTTTATGTTGATAAAATGATATGAAAATAAAAATATCTAATATTTAAAAGATTAGTTTACCAAAAAAAAAAAAAATTTAACTCCAAAATGATATAAAATGATATGTTACCCGTATTTGAAATATGCAGCAATCTTTTTTATGAAACAGTCTTAACCGCGTCAAGAGCAACTAAAATCACATAATGAAATTTAGAATCAGTTTGCAAAAACAGAGCGAGGTCTCATAAGAGTCGCCAACTAACTTGATCCCCGGCAAGTTTCGTGTCCCAACAAAATACGCCATAATAAGATCTGGACAAGGAGATCTATTATAGTTTTGGTTACATTTGTCTCAAATCCAGCCCTGGCTTTAGGATCAATGGCTGAGATACCCTCGTCAACACACAAATGATCTGATTTGCTTCTGTTATATTTTGCATTTTTTTAACATTTATTTTAAATAGAAAAAGTGGTGAATATCGATTGTATCCTTAAAAACGTAATGATATTACTGGACTCAACCATTTTAAAAGTCCACCCAAACCCAACCATCTAAAAAGTCCACACAAACTCATATA